AAAACTAGCAAGAAACCCTGCGGTATATATTCTTTTTGGAAAAAAATATTAGTTCACTTAATCTTTTAACCTCTCAAACGGCAAGCGTCCAAATTTGACCGCTTCGATATTCCGTCAAAAATCAAGAGGTCAAATGTGACCGCACCCACCCACAACACTTTAATCCATAAATACTTATATTTAGATACTACTTGTTTTGTTTTATTATAAAATTGTAATGAAAGTGTTTGTGTAAATATAATTTACCTTTTTACGTAAATAATTTCGATTTATATATAGAAATAATTGAGATTTTCACGCTGCCGACATCCTCTTGGTATAATTTATTTTGTTATCAAAATACAATAAAATCTTTTGGTAATAAAGTAAAACCTGACTTTTGTTTAAACCACAGGACAGAGAATTTTGTATAAATTTTATAATGCCAAACTTCTTCATAGAAAAGTAGTCTCTAAATATAAGTTTTAATAGTTCTGTGGGTGGGTGTAGTCGCATGCGACCGCTCGGGATTTGTCGGACGCATGCGACTTGGCCGTCGATGAATTGTCGCTCCTGTTTTGTGGGGGTGGTGGCCGTTCGACAAAAACGACGAAACAAGTGCTTTGATGTTGATATAAACCTCAAGTTATTTTGATCGCTTTTGCGCCTAATGAACTTGAGCGGCTGTCGTCAGCAACAGTCCGCTGGGTTGAGCTGTCGTCAAAATCTCCCAAAAACTTCGCAATGTGACGCATCAGCATATTGTGAAGAAAAAAATTATAAAAATGAAGATTCCGTAAGAAATGGGCTCAGAAGGGCTAGAACCTAGAGCCGTAAAGCCAGTTAAATAAAAAAAATTGTCCTTACAGGTGACAACACATTTGTAGCACTCTATATTTGAAATTAATTGTAGAGGTGCATTACCATCAAGTAGGCTGTTCAGTTTGTTAGTAATTTCAACTTGACGCCAATGCAGGTATCAAGAATGATTCTGACCCATATGTAATTCTGATCTTTCACAGATTTACTGCAACGTATCACAATACCATCAACAACAATAGGTGGTAGGTTATCCTAAGTAATTCTAGAGATCAGATAGTCACTCCCAACGATATTGGTTTTATGAGTTTTTAAGTAGGATATACACAAATACATTTTTGTATGATTTTTTCACACTTACATTGAATGTATTTTATTAACCAATATGATGAGAATAATTGATATCAACTAAGATTTTTGGTGGAGCCACACTGCAGCTGTATTAAGGTTGTAGCACGATTGCGTTGGATCGACCGCAGGACCACGCTCTCACAGTATAGGAGCGTAAAATAGCAGCCTAATGCTGACCGTTTTCACTGGAACGAGGCATTCCATCTTAGTCCTCGGGGGTGACAACGCATCTTTTTTTCTTTCTTTTTTTATAGAATAAGGGTGACAAACGAGCACACAGTCCACCTGATGGTAAGTGGATGCTGTGGCCCGTAGATATCTACATTTATGGTGGATTAAGAATCAAAACGCAGATGCGTTGTCACCCTTAAGGATTAAGATGAAATGTCTCGTTTTCAGTAAAAAGGGTTTTCGGATCTCTACACTCACCATACGAAACGCAACAGTATTAAGCTGATATTTTACGCTGGTGTTCTGTGAAAGTGTGTGCCTTCCCCGGTCTAGCCGATCTATTTGTGATACTACATCCATAACAAAGCTGTAGCGTGGTTCTACCACACATAAAATTATAAAATCTTCCACGTATAAATGCAACCGCATTTTGATTTGTAATCGAGGATAGATGTAGATGTCTATGGGCCACAGCATCCAGTTACTGTCTGGTGGACTTAGACGTTTGTCACGTTATCCTATAATAATGTTAATGGTTAAAACAGTATCTTAAAAATCCGACTGTTTAAAAAAGTTTATCGAAAAAATGTTACCCTACCTTTTTGGATTTGTAGATGCAATACTTAAATACAATTTAAACTCTATATAACGACACTCAAGGGACTGTGCATATTTTGTTATATAGACGTTAATTTTTATTCGTTAAATGGAAAATGGTAAAATCTGTATTAGAAATACTTTTTCGTCAAAATACAGTGATTTTCTCTTACTTGCCATGTTTACAGCTTAAAAGTCTGTGAACAACTAAGAGTGTGATAACCATCGATCACTAATAAAAACGTGATAACGTATAGATAATCCATGACTCCTATTAAGGGGATATAGTAAGTCAGCTCAAATTCTAATTTCGTCCCCACTTGCCCGTGCGTCGTATGCTATGTACCGACATGTTTGTAATCACTAATACTGTAAGTAGAAAGATCGTTAGATACTTATTTTATTAGGTTTATCATATTTATGCCTGTTTCTTAACGCTAAGCCAGTCGCTTCTTATTTTTATTACGGTTATTTCCCATTTTAATTTTACGTCGTCCTGCTGCGTAATGTATATTCTGATCGTAAGCGACACAACCTCTCCCTTCAAAGGCCGAAGCGAAGTGATCGGGCGGCAGGAATCACGCTTCAAGAGGCCGATAGTTTAGGTAATTTCTTTTTGCAGTGAAAATAATGGTATTTTAAAAAAAGTAAATAACATAAGCACTGCTTTATAGTTAGTTCAGTTAGTATGCAAAGTTTCATGATCTTATTTAAAGTATTTTATGAATAACAGCGGTTTATTGTTTATTTCGGAGGTAACTTTGGATTTTTTTCTATCGAGAAAATTTTACGAAATCGTGTCTTCGTCTAAGATAAGCCTTAACATTAATTTTTTTTTATAGGTTAGGGTGACAATCGAGCACACAGTCCACCTGATGGTAAGTGGTTGCTGTGGCCCATAGACATCTACATCTATCCTCGATTACGAATCAAAATGCAGATGTGTTGTCACCCGTGAGGACTAAGATGGAATGCCTCGTTTCCAGTAAAATGGGTCGCCGGTTCTCTACACTCACCATACGAAATACAGCAGCATTAAGCTACTATTTCACGCTGGTATTCTGTGAGAGCGTGGTCCTTCCCCGGTCGAGCCGACCCATTCGTGCTACAACTATACATCTAATATAACTGCAGCATGGCTCTACCACGTATAAAATACGTTAATCCTCAACTTTATCATATATTTATTTCAAAATTAATGCTGCAATATTTACGGCATAACGAAGGATCTTGCTAAGCCATTTGAGATTATATTTCCCCTTAACAACAGTCTACACGTCCAAGCAATCCCAATTTGTAAACAAAACAACGGATTTCTTAGAGAGTTTGATATGTATTATGCCGACAGTCGAGTCGAGTTCATTAAGGGCTAGAAAAATAAAGCGACAAAAGAACAAATGAATGTTGTGTACGCTCGTTTGTGCTGTTTTTACTAATTTTTCAATCTAAAAAGTACATTTTATTTTTTAATTGTTGTCGTTATTGAGAGCGGGCGTAATGCTATATAGAGTGTATCATTGTATGGAAGTCAAGCTAAACCAACCGAGGTCGAGTGACTTCGACACTTTAGGGAGTTTGTCGTGAAATAGTTATATGGAGTTTACACTGTATTATATAGTCTATGTCACTCCCAAAAATAACACGAATCTAACGACACCTCATATATTAAAATCCATCTAGTCGTTTAGGCTACATAGCGTGCCAAAGAAATATACACACATATGTACATACACATGTAACGTACTCTTGAAAAACAATATTCTCCTTCTGGGCACAGTCGGTTAAAAAAGATAAAGGTACATTCCTCCGTAATCAAAAGCAACGATCTGCGTAATGTTAATGTGATAAAGATGAAATAACCAGTTGTTAACAGGCAGCAATAAAATTTGATAAGCGAGATTTAGAGGTGTTAAATTAACTTTTATATCGTGTGTGGCCTCTAGCTTTGATTGCCTTGTACCCTTATATGCAAAAATGAATGAACGATTTATTCGTCGTACACACAATGTATAATACAAAGAAATTTAGACTACAAAACAAACAAAAATTAATAAAATATTTTAATTAAACTAGTAATACTAATATAATAACTAGTAATACTAGTATAATAACTAGTATACTAGTAAAACTATTTATACGGATATTATACGTAATTAACTTTTTTTAGATATGGTAAAGGGTAAGCTGAGCCTCTATCTTTAAATGAGATTTCAGTGGACTGAGATGGAAGCCTCGTTTAGTAAAAAGGGTTGTTTCACCTGAGGATTGTCTATTTCACGCTGGTATTGTGAGATTCACGTGCTATTAATTACTGAGGGTTACGTAACTTATTTTTAATTCCCGACGTTTGGGTGCTTTACAGCATCCACGGTCACGGGGGGTCCTGAGATGTTTGACGTTCTAATGTCATAGGGCTCTAGGACTGTTATTCTGTCGGTGCCTAATATTACCGTGCATTATGACAATAATTAGTACGCTTAGTATAACATTTTTTATTCTCTTAATTTCTCGAGGAGTGTATTCCTGTATTCCCACCGACTCAGCATGATGCTGTAGCATTCTTGCCAGGGTGTTGTTGTTCTATTTTGGCTTATTATAGCGTTAAAGAGCCCAATCCCAAGCTTAAGGTTGTAACGACCGAACTGTGGCATCTCAGAGGCTGAGCCCTCTTATAGAAGTAGAAATAGAAACAAAAAGTTTTCGTTTAATGTAGATTACAAGCTGTAAAACTCTACTTCACCCTTCTTAAGGGGAACCCCACGGATGGACAGTCTCTACAGCAAATGGCACAAATATGTAGTCATCTTTTAGAAGCATCTTTTAGAAATAGCAACTTAATACTGCTGTGTATGGTGGGTGTAGAGATCCGGAGACGCTTTTTTACTGCAAAAAAGGCATTCCATCTTAGTTCTCAGGGGTGACAACGCACCTGCGTTTTGATTCTTAATCCAGGATAAATGTAGATGTCTATGGACCACAGCATCCACTTACCATAAGGTGGACGGTGTGCTCGTTTGTCATCCTTATTTTATATAAAAAAAAGAAATATAAATTTCTATATAAATTTTATTTAAATTACTAACCTTTGGGCTAGGGAAAGGGATGACGGGACGCTCGTAATTGTAGCCCTTACTAGGTGGTAGGTATTCATTTCCGGCGGATGTCGCTATGCTGATTAGAGATGAAACCACGACACAAGACAGCAACATCTGGAAAATAATTAATATGGTTTAATATGCAAACTTTTTTTTCATTATTTACGATTGATATTCATTGTAACTATAATTAACAATAAACTAGCAATAAAATAATTAACAAACTTGTTTTACGGATTTTAATGAGTATCTATTTTTTTTTCACTTTTGATGATTCTTCAAGATGACTGCCTCTTTAGTTTAACGGTTGTAACCGTGATTGCCGATCATGACGTCCTGGGTTCGAATTCCACGTAAGGCTGAAATCAGTTATTCCTATTGCGTTTTGCTGTCAAGAAATTCTCAGTATCAGCCCGGATTCGGGTAGTTGGCGGTGTCTCACCCCCGTGCCTCGAAAAGCACGTAAAGCCGTTGGTGCTGCGCCTGATCTCTCTCCGGTCGTATCGGATTACCATCACATCGGACTATCAGAGTGACAGAATAGGGTTTTTTTTATAAAATAAGGTTGACACAAGAGTACACAGTCAACCTAATGGTAAGTGACTGAAAGCGAATGGTAGGTAAAAGGGTTTTCCTATTTCTACATTCAGCATACGAAACATAGCAGCATTAAGCTGCTATTTTACACTAGTAGAACGTGGTTCTTCCCCAGTCAAAACCACCCATTCGTGCTACAACCATAATACAGCTGCAGCGTGTCTCTACCACGTTATAAATGTACTAAAAAGCGTAAATTTACTGTGTAGAGAACCGGAGATCCTTTGAACTAGAAATAAGTTATAACATTTTGGCCCTCAGGGGCGACAACGTATCTGCATTTTGACTCCTTCGATTCTTAATTGAGGATAGATGTAGATATCTATGGGTTGTAGTATCCACTTACCATCAGGTGGGCTATATGGAATGTCACCCTTATTCCACAATAAAAGCTCTTTGACATTGTTGCAATATATTAAAATAGTAATATAATTAAGTCGACAATAGTTATCTTTTTCTTAGAATCCTCCGGCGAACGGCGCGACCTTGTACCATCGATATCCGATGCATTGTTTTAGATGGTGCAATGCGCTTGATTTGCATATATGTAGCTAGCAAAACAACCGTGAAGTATTTGAATTTAGTTTTCGTAATATGTAGTTTCTTTTTTGTTTATGGCCACAGACAATATTTTGGCGTTTCGGAAGTTTTGGCGGGAACTTGATCGTCGACGGATTGTTGCTCCTGTTTTATCGTTTAAATAATCGTTTGAAATGAATTCTGATACGTAAACGTAATGCGATTTTATGTATTAAGTGTCTGCGTATGTAAACTAATAGAGAAAACGACGAAACAAGTGCTGCGATGTGATATAAACCTCAAGTTAATTTGATCGCTTAGGCGCCTTATGAACTTGAGTGACTGTTGTCATCGACTATCCGCTGGGTTGAGCTGTCATCAACATCTCCTAAAAACTTTGCAATGTCAGCACGTTGTGAAGAAAAAAATTATAAAAACGAAGATCATTCGGGATGAAATGAAGACATGGCTTAAAGGACAAGCATCTAAATCAAAAAGCCTAATTAAAAAAATATATAACATTCAATTTCCTTTTTCTATGTTTTATTAGCTTAGTTTACTTTTGTAATTAAATTTTTTCTTCTTTTGTTCGATAATTCGTATGTAATGTCGTTCAGTCGTTCTCGAGTTATTTTGAAATCATTCTATTTACCACAGTGACCGGATAGTGATCGCTTAAGCGCCTTATAAACTTGAGTGACTGTCGTCATCGCCTACCCGCTGGGTTGAGCTGTCATCAATATCTCCCAAAAACTTCGCAATGTGACGCACTAGCACATTGTAAAAAAAAATTATAAAAACGAAGATCCCGAATGAAATGAAGACACGGTTTAAAAGACAAGCATCCAAATCAAAAATCCTAATTAAAAAAAATTATATGCCGTTTTCTTTTTTCTTGTGTTTAGTTAAACCTACGACTTAGACATAACGCGCATAAATATTACTACAGTCATATATAAAAATCCGACCATAAATTAGAATTGGAATATATAACAAAATTCACTCACTAATAGAAAATTTTCATTTAATTTGATGCACTTTTTTTAGTTTTAATACTGTAGAATAATAAAGAACTATAATGAAAAAACAATTTAATTTATCATAAAATCCTACTTCCCATAGTGTCTTGCCAAGAACGCTGGCTGCATTTCCTCGCTGAATGGTTATCGAGCGAGAAAAGAACCAGCCCTCTTATCACCAGCCACCAGTCACCACACTTGGGCCCCACGGACCGATAGTCTCTACAGCAAATGGCACGAATGTGTAGTCATCTCTTAGAGACTCATATTAAAGGTTATATTTTACTTAATCTACCATACAAATAAGGTAAAGCGTCATCTGTCGCGGAGAAGAAAATGAATTTGGTAGGAGTATTCGATATATATCATTTTAAATTCTAAATTTGTAAAAGAATGTAATAAACTTTATTATTATTAAATATTCCCATCAACGCTACAAAATACAGTCATTGCATTTAAATGTTAGCGTTCCGATTAGTCTTCGATATGCGAACGTTTGCTTGTGACAAATGAACTGCGTGAACTATACAGGCCGTAAGGGCAATGTCACACTAAAGTAAGCGAACACACTTATATATACTTTAATATAATATACATATTTAACCGCACATAATCGATATTATATTTGAGTGCCTCGTCGTCCTAGTGGCCTTAAGCTGTGACTGGTGATCATGTGGTCTAATAGCTGAACAGAAGCTTCCTTCAATGTCATAAGATATCTCAAGAAGTTCATTTAGTAGAGTGTGGTTATAAATAGGCGGTGGCTGGAACACGACAAGGTCGGCTCGATAGAAAAAAGACTGCGCTTTCACAGAATACCAGCATTCAATATAATCATTCGTATGGTAAGAAGCTTTTTTGGTGGACAGTGGACATCACAAACTCGTTACTTGATTAAGAATCGAAATGCAGATGCATTTGGTAACTATGCACTATTTTCGTAATTTGGAAATTATATGCTATGCTACGTCTTGTGTTGTAATTCGAGACATGGTTAGATCTACTAGGAAAAAATACGTTACAGAAAATATGATATATATTTTTATACCAGCGAATGTCATTGTTGATTGCCCGGAGCTGTTAAGTAAATAGCTTTAATTAACTTTTAAAGTAAAAGTAAAAAAAGTAAAGTTACAGCGCCTATATACGTCCCACTGCTGGGCTCAGGCCTCCCCCTCATTTCTGAGAGGGTTTAGGGCAAGGAAGTGTCCGCCGCGCTGCCCAAATGCGTGTTGACGAACTTCACATGTCTTCGAAATATTTTTTTTCTTATTCCTCAGACATGCAGGTTTCCTCACGATGTTTTCCTTCACCGCCGAGCACGTGGTAAATCAGCACTTAAAACTGCAATTAACAATTTCATTGGTGCCGGCTGGGATCGAACCCGGGTTATTCGCCTTCTGTTATATTTACAGCGAGCGTTAACCACTGAGCTACCACGGCTCTAATAAATAATTAACTTTTAGTACCAAGATATTAAGCTGAGTAAATAACTTTATTAGGAGAACCTCGCTTACTCCACGTATCGCAAGTTAGGACCCTATCAAGCAAAACTATTTTATGATTCGTGCGTGTGCATTTAATGAGGTATCTGGTAACATAGACTTGGATTTGTTTAATACTAGTGTTTCCAGAGTCAAAAATATTTTGATTTCGTTAAAGTAATTTGACATTGCAGTATTTGTGGGTATTTTAGTGCCTATCTTTTGTCGATCTTTATTTATATTTTTTTTTTCTTTTTTTTTTAATTATTTTTTCTTTATTTTTTTATAATAAAGGCGTTAAACAAACACATTCACAACACAGTCCACCTGATGGTAAGTGGATGCTGTGGCCCATAGAAATCTACATTTATACTTGGTTAAGAATCAAAATGCAGATGCGTTGTCACCCTGGATGGTAAATGGAATGCCTCGTTTCCAGTAAAAGGGTCTCCGGTTCTTTACACTTACCATACGAAATACAGCAGCCTTCACTCCGGTATTCTGTGATAGCGTGCTACAATTAATATAGCTGCAGCGTGGATTTACCACGTATAAAGTTTTCACGACTAGTGGTGAAAATTTTTAAACGACCTTATCAATTTTTTACTGTTCCTTATTATATTTTACTTATATTCTACTAAGAAATAAATCAATAAAATATAAATTTTGAAGTTTGCTCATGCAGAAATTAATAGTTTTGTACTCCATACACTAAGCCATGACGATTAAATCATTTCATTAATATCTCAGCACTGTATTGTGTCAAGACCTTTAAATGGCAAATAAATAATCTATTTTGTATCAAAGCGTGTACATTTACTACGTTCAGGTAATGGCGATGGGATAATGGTGGAATTAGGTTTGATTGATGTGACGAATGGCCTGGTTTGTATATCCTTTGTGTAATCATGTTCATCAAAGGAATTTTATTAGTCTCTAATTCATCCAGAAATTTATCGCCTGCTTTTAAATCTTGTCTTTAAATATTATTTGTGGTTCATCCATAAAATAAAATATTGTTTGTGTGTTATTTTTGAATTTTACCTGTTGAATAATTTTTCTGTTACCATGATTTTTAATTCTTTTTTGATTTTTAATTTTTATTTCTTAAAAAGTTGTGACTCTAAGAACGTATTTAGTTAGACAACTATTAAATCTATCAACTTATGATTTAAACAGTTGGTATAATATTTAGTTACCATAGGAGCAATTATATTTCACTTTTCATGTGTGATCTTATCTGTGTATCTCAAACCCCCTTTTAGAGTACGAGTATTGCATTTATACGAATTTATTCGTGGTAAGTCGACATTTTTAAGGATTCTACATATGAATTTGAATGCTGAAACAAAAACATGTATAAACTAAGCAGATGTCTGCATGATGCAAACGGCTGCTTGGTTTATTCATGTTTTATGAGGTTTTTAGGGTAGTAGGAGTAAATAGGGTTTAGATTTATTGTAGTTTGTTCTTAAAAGAGGGTAATTATAGTAAT